AAACGTTTAATAAATGCCCAGATAAAGTCTGTTCATGCAATGCTGATTCAATCATCTTCTGTGTGTACTCAAGCAAGGAGAATCCCACCTAAACTGTAACCCTTGCTAATCTAAACTGTCTCGGCTCCCTACTATAGTCAGTGGACAGGAAAAAGCAGCTCCAGAGAACAATTAATCCAAATCTAAGGCAAATGTCTAAAATAAGGGAGCAGTATCGACATTTTGCAAAATGGAAGCCAAGACACAGATAGAGTAAGAATTAAAACTTCTATTAAATTAGTTACTCAATTTGCAATAGTCTAGACCACATCATTATGGAGACTTAGTACTTTCAAAACACAGCTTACACTATCACCCACCACAGCTCTGAAAAGTCAGCATTTTTGCATGTTAGGCCAAGGGATCCAAGCTGGTCAACAGCAAACAAGGAGAAAAAAATTACTAAACATCTGAAAATTTTAATTTGTCTAGCATTCACAGGATCTCTGGGGTGAGACAAAGGTAAAATTCAATTTTCTGGTCACAACTCAACTACTTCAAACATAAGGTCAAGATTCCTTTTTTTTCTGTTCCTGAAATCATCACTTCAGTTTTAATGCCTTGCAAAACCTAAAGATAGTACCTTCTCCTAATACTCAACCCAAATTAATTCCTTTTAGTGACCCCCGACAGCTAAATCAGAGAAGGCAGGGGTCCTATGGGGGGGTGGGGGGGGGAAATCACAGCATGAAGTGATTAAAGGTTGCAAATTCACACATATAGCCACAAAAGGACTTAGAGTGCTTCATGTCACCTTAATTTTTATATTTCCTAAATTTTGAGTGTTTGACATCATGATTTTTTGGTTTCATTGTTTATTTTTTAATACACTTGTTTGAAACTACACGTGTGAGAAAATGATTCCCGAGTTTGAAAAAAAGGCATAATGATGAAAATTAAATTAGATAAACCATGATGAGATTGTCACCTGCACAACTCATGAGTAGATCAGGAACTTCTACACTCCTCACAGTCCTTCTTAACCACCCACTTTATTTTTTACTAGAATAAAATTCCATGCACTACAGGAATTAAATAGAATTGCTCACTTTTTTCTTTTTATCTGACCAAATTAAGAGGTTTGAAATAAATTGTACATTTTAAAAATTATTTTTAATTTAAAATATTATTTCAAATATTATATTCAATATTTTAACATTACAGTGTCCAATGTCATTTGCTTATTCACTATGTGAAAGCGAGATATAACCAAAGAAATGCTTCTACTTGGCTAATAAATAAAATCATCCATGATTGCTCTACAACACAAGAAGTGTATAAAAAAATATTACTTGCCAGGGTTGGTGTGTCATGTATTTGTAGTTCCAGAAAATATTTCCTGAGGGGTTTAGATGAGAATTCTATGCATATAAACTGACAATTTATTTCCACTGAAAAAATGCAATACAGTACAAAGATGAAATAAAAGCAAACTAAACAGAAGTCTAGAGACAAGGCAGCTGATCTTGCAGCATCAAATAATGACCTGGCATGTACACTCTGCAGCGTTTTGCAAAATAGATTGTACGCAAAGATGAGCAGATAGAAACCTAACTAGCATGGTCATTGTAACCACCATGATAGATGTTTAAACTCTTTGCTGCCTTGGTCCTTTGCAAATTTTTTATATTGGAGGAGATACTTTAAACAGTACTTTTTAAATGGAAGGCAATACAAAGGAATCCACATCTAATAGCAGGGAGACCTCATAATGAGACCTTTATCGCACATAATGAACAAATGGACAGGCCACATTTATTCCTACTGAACATTACCACATCATACTATTGAATAATTTCGTTTATATTTTATTTATTTCATTTTTATTAAATTCAACTTAAATAAGGTTCTATATTCCTTCTTAATATCACTATTTGAAACTATCAGCAAATTTATGATTTAGAATGCTGTCTGGCAATCCTGAAAGCACACTGTCATCCTTTTGCAGGGTAGATGGATAATGTTATAGAAATGGAGAGCTTAGAGGTTTACTTCAGCTTTCATGTGATGTAACAAAATCTACAATGGTTTTGAGATGAGAGAGCTTGTCAGACCTTAGTAGTGAGCATCACCCATTCCATAAAAGTGACAGCGAGTATTACCAGCAGAGAAGCTGTTACCCTCATGCCCTACAGCAAAGTCACTGTCTGTCTATTATTTGACAGGCAGGGTAATATGGGAATATGTTACGCTGGTGGAAAAACTGACACAATTGCTGGAGAGTCCTGTGACTAGTATGAGCAAACTGGAAGTAACATGTCCAACACCTGTGATAGATAACAATTTAAAGCATATGTTTATTACTGCTAAATTACATCCCTCGTACTGCTGACACCCAGAAGCATTTAGCAAAATCTGAAAATAAAATCACGTTCTTCGTTGTCAGCAGTATGCAACTTTTCCTGAACATCTAAAACTGAAATCCATAATTAGAAATAAAAACTAACTGAACCATTATATGCAATGCACTATAATCTCTCTTGTCACTGAAATAGTGTAATTTACCTACCAATTGTTTTCAAGGCTACAGAAGATATTGTTGGGAAATCTTAAAATGCATACTATAACAGTGATTTAAATTGGATCAAAACAGATGAACAAGGTTGAAGGAACGAAAACTAAACAATAGTCTCCTTGGCCAAAGCTGGAAATTCAATCCCATTTTGCTGCTATAATCCATACAAGAAACTTCGCTGTGACACCAAAAATTGGATTTAGTAAGTGACTGAGAGATTGAAATTGCTGGTAGCTCAGGCTTGCAAGTCATCCGCAGGTCAGGCAGAGTGCAGCAAACAACGCAACTTTCGCTACGGTTTTCCTCTTCTGAGCTCTAAGTACACATTTGAGAGACTACACCCTCTAGTGAGGAGTAGAAAAAGCATTTATCATATCAGCTCCTCCTGGCTGTGAAAAGCTGTGCAAAACTGCAGATACACAATACACAATCCTAAAGCCATACAGAATATTGAATTTGAAAATGATTAAATACATAAACAAAGCCCTAATCCTTTAAATCATATGTTCACATTAAGGAAGGTCTGTAAGGAGTTTAACTCAACACCATGTTGTTTGAATTTGTTATGCAGTATAGAATAAAACCAAAAAAAGCTACATAAAAAAACTTTTAAAAACACAGATAGCAATATAGCTTTTTCAGAGAAATGTCTCTGCCCAGCTCTGTGGAAAAGCTATGGGAAAGTGACTAAGCAAAACCACAAGGAGTCCCCATAAGACAATTTTTCAGTATCTTTCATATTCATTACATTTTCACTTGTATACAATTCAAATTGCCTGTGCTTGAAAGTGCAAAAGACTTTATTTAAATTTACTCATTAAAAATCTCTATGAATGAAAAAGAAAATTAGACACAATAGCAAGCATTTTTTTTTAATTTGTAATAATCACTAAGATAACACAATATATATCATCATTCTAATGATAAACTTTGTTTACTCTTCAGAACATTGTCTCTTTCAACACAGACCTTAAAATTAACACACACCCTGTGCGAAGTGAATACTTAATTTACATGACAAAGTATTTTTAAAATTTCATCTGGTACATAGTGTGGTAATCTCCTGGAAAACACATTTAGAAATTACAAACCCTGTTTTTTTTGTTTACTCAGAAGAAGCTAAGAAAACAGGAGATGGAAGATATTAACGTTATCAAGAACACCTTTTAGTTTAAGCAGGTGACAGAAATTCAGTAACAATTTTAATTCACTTTTGGAACGTCCGTTGCATGTAAGTGGCATTCAAGAAAGACTGCTTCATGTCCAAACTGTAGCGGACAGCTAATTTCCGATGTCTGCCTTCATATCTCCTTACAGAAGAACAGTTTGTTTAACCCGCCCCCGGTGAAACTGAATACCTTATTTTTCCAGTTGGAAAGGGCCACTAGCAAGCCAAAAAATCATACTTCTCTCTGAACGTTTTATATCTTCCATTCTTAAGAGTAACATCAAGAAAGAGTTTAAGTATCCAAGTATGCTAACAGGTAACTTATGAGAACATCTCTGCATAGCTGTGTCCCTGTGTATCCAAATACTGAGTCATTTCCTTACTAGTTAAAAAATTCTGCAAAATACAAAGACAGTGGCAGAATAGCCTGTAAAATTTTAAAGACTTTTAGAATGCTCTGTTATTTTAACACTGAGGTATCAGATGCATTTATAAAGCCAATTTTGAAAATCAATTGGAAAGTGTCTCTTCAGAGGTTATGGAGACAATAGAAAAGAATGCTAGTACTGAAGACGCTTCTGTGCAGACAAAGAAAGAATCAAAATCTTTATTTTTTGTAAAGTTGGTAGTACAGAAGCATACTATTACTGTCAATATTATTAACGAGAGTTAGTCCATGTAAAAAATTTACTTCTAGTTTTAAAATGTTGTACGTGATCACGGCACACCAATCAATATAAATATAAAAGTATTAACAACCTTCATACGATTTTCCAGTGAAAAAAACAGGTTTAGTAATTCATATCATCTTCATTTATTTTGAAAAACATGTATTTTCTATCTCTGTCCTTACAGGTTTGTGTTCTGTACTCCTGCTGCAACACTTTCACTTATCAATAATGTTACCAATCCTGATACAGTATCCACACTCACTCCTTTCTCAGTGAGAACATCTGTCCGCCTTGAAACCCTTTCACTCTTCAATAATGTTACCAATCCTGATACAGTATCCACACTCACTCCTTTCTCAGTGAGAACATAATGTGAAAAGAAAGCATTTAACTGGGATAATAAAATTCTCTTTATTAAGAATATTTCCATTTTGCATACATTCTGTTTTTTACCTGTGTTACAGAGAATCTGAAATCATTATTTTATGACCTTCTACTGTTTTTTCAGAGCAGACCTACATATAGCATTTCAACAAAAAATTCAGATGCTAAGTAAGACTGCTAAAACCAGAATACTTCAACTATTTCACAGGATGAATTAACTTACTTTGGAGGATGTAGAGTCACATTCCTGACAAATCCATCCATAGCCAGTCTGTTTAGGAGACTTTTTCAAGGGAGGGTCTAGACAGCCAAAATGGTAGCAAAGCCTGCATTCATCACACCTGCAACAGAAAAAAAAAATTATATATAAATGGTACTTCTACACTATTTCAGATTGAGCTTCCCTGCAATTCTCAGCACAAGATTTCCTGATCCATTATCATGATACAGAAAATCCATTTTCTGTAAGCGGTATTTTCAAACACAATCACTTCAAGGAGGTTCTGCCTAATTTGGAATATTCTGATGCAGACACTCATACATCACCTTTGTCTACATCTTATATAAATGACATTATTTCAGAGACCTGCAAATTAAAGAAAAATGTATAACCAGCTCAATTTTTTAGATACTTCAATGTCATTCATTGCCATTTATTTTCAGAAATGTGTGATTTTTTTAGACAGTGACAATATTCATTTTTCATAGTTTTAAGATACTATTTTACACATCTGCTTTTTCAAGGAAAACACAGTGAAATGTTTGCTCACATATTCAACAACTCAAGTATAATTTACAGCTATGAATTTTATTTTTTACACCAGGACTATGTGGTTGATAACTAAATGCACAAAGTATTTTCTGATTCGCTTTGAATTTTCTGGAAAGGGGCATTAATTTAAAAGGATTTCACTGTGATCTTTCACTTACAAAACTGCCCTATGTACACACAACAAATTTATGTTCTTTTTTAATAAAGGTTTCATAAGCGTTTTGTGCTATGTATGGTCCACATAAAATGCTCAAAACATATAGCATAGCTATTGTTCACCCATTCTTAATGTACCAGCATTAAAGAAATGCTACAGCATAACAAGTGCTTCATGAAAGGATTTTTAAATCAGTACAATAATAAGCTCAAAATGAGAAAGAGATTTTTAAAAGCAAATAACACAGATTTTCATATAACCTACTGAACTTAATTTTATTTGTATATCCCCCTGTATTCTTTTGGGTGGAAAAGAAAGCTTTTTTCTCCTCATTAAAGGTCCTTAAACTCTGAATTGAAGCCAATATAAATGATCCAAAAATAGGAAATAGAATACATGTTCAAAAATCGAATTTCCTAGGAAATCCTCTACACTTTCTTTCTCTGCTTCCCTGGCCACTCATTTTCTCCTCTACAAAACATGCGAACACAAAAATCTCCAAAAATTGCAATAATAGCATGGCACAGGCATCATCAGATCAAAGTCAGAGGGATATAATTTATCAACAGAACACACAGTGCATCACAGAAAGAGGATTCAACTAACAGAACATACTGCTGTATTAACAGAAGAAAATGTTCATGTGACTCTTCTCCAAAGATTAGTCTCCAAATAAAAAGAAGTAACTGTTCTCTGATTATGATTGTTTAAGCTAAGGAAATACTTTTGTCCTTGCTGTCAAGGCTGTGCTTGCTAGGGAAGTCTTGTGTTTTTAGCAGTTACATGTAAGACATGAGCACTGGTAAGGGTATTGCATGTACTGTCTTCTGCTAAGTACAAATTAAAAGCAATAATCTACCTATCAACAGTGTGCTACACTGGACTGACATGGTTTTTGTATTTTTAAAAAATGGCATATACCATATTAAAATCTGTGTCCTTAGGACTGTTTAGTAATTACTCAATCTAATTCCAGGACAAAGAAAACACCTAAAAAAGGAAACCATTCTCAGTTATTAAAGACACAAAAGTTCTAATGTAGAAATATATTACTTACAATTAGGAATATATGCAGTTTTATTTCCTGTGAAAGGCATACTAAAATAATAAAAAGGTTACCCTCCTACATCCCAACAGCATATGTGACCTTCAGCAAAAGATTAAGCCTCCTTTGAGCCTCAATGTTCTCATCTGTAAGGGAATATATTTTTACTAACCTATTTCTATATCTAGAATCCTATTCACATAAGTGCTTGCATTTGAGCAGTGCTTATCAGAACTCCCTTCTTGTAAACTGTTTGGGATCTTCTAAGTAACACAAAATAAAGCATTCCACTATTTCTGACTGATTTAGTGTATTTTCAGAGCTTAATCCTAAAATCTACATCTGACTTCAACCAGTATTTAGATTTTTTCTGAAGTGATTGTCTACAAACACAAGTGTTTATACGTTCAAAAGAAAATGCTTCCCCTTTAAAATTACGCTTTGCCATCTCTTCTTACATCTTTTCCATTTTGAGTCTTGAATGTGGTATTTCCTGACTGCACATTCAGCCATGTTTCAGAAGCACGCTGAGGGAGTTAGCAAGGCTGGGTTGAAATAACCAGAACATTAAGAAATTAAATACAGATCTGGAGGTGCCATTCTAAAGCTGAATGTTTTTAGTATTTATTTTCATTAATTTTTATCACTTCAAAGCTGTTTACTTTGGCAGAGGAAAAATTGCATTTTCCTAGAATGAGTTAAAAATATCTACATGAAAGTTTTCAGATACTAATAGCTTCTATCTGCATCCGCACAGCTGAGAAAATGTAAATAAAAGAATCATATTTTCACGTATCAAAACAGAAAAAGCTACATGGTGATAAAAATGAAACTACATAAAATATTTTTAAACACTTCCTTCATACTGCTTTTTATTGGAATACAGATTCTGTATTGTGGAACACAAATCCACTGATTCTGAAGATCCCACAGCATGATGCTGGGAAAATAGATGAATATACACTGTACCTTGGTTAAAGATGATGCCCTAGCTGGCTGGCAACTCTCGTCTGCTGAGCCTGACTTGGGACAAAATGTGAAGCTTACACACATCACAGTACAGAAAACAAAACTGGCATTCTTAATTCCTAATTCCGAAAGAAAACCTTATACCTAGGTTAAAATGGCACTAGTAAAATGAGATTAAGCCCTCAACTGTATACTATTACTTGTGTTCTTTTGTCTAGCAACATAAAATGGTAGAAAATCCACTGTCAGATTCAGAAAATAAGAAAGCGACACAAAATAAGGAGTACTTTCAACTTAATTAGAGAATGAAATTGTTGGGTCACAAAAGGTGTCATGCTGACAGTCTCGCAGCCTTTCAGTAAATGTACTCACAGATCAATCACAATACGGACATTTTCAGAGCAAAGGAGCCACACTGCACTGTCATTTACAAATATCATCCACTTCCATCCTGAAGATGGCTTAATAGTACAAGTTAAACTATTGGCAGTGGGGGGGGAGGGAAAGAAACCACTTCCTCCATTTTAAACATTCAGTTAAAATTTATACCCTGGTGGATTCAAGGTCACAACATCAAAACAGTCCTTAAACTAGCAACTATTTTCTCTTGCTATTATTTGTGGATTACTTTTTTTGTGGTTAAGTACCTGATTTACAAATGCAATTAAGTGCACAGCCATCTTCAGTGGCCTGGCTAGCAGTTGTGCCGAAAACTTTGTGAAAACAAAAACAGAGCTCCACACAAAGATAAGCTAACCTAACTTCCTAAATTACCTCTAACTGACAGGTAATTGCTTACTATCAATGTTTTAACAAGCCTGAAATTACTTTATGCATCAAAATTAGAAATTGCTGTGTTCCTCATCCCAGCAATTAATGAGGATAGATATACGTCCACTACATACCGAGAAAATGGGGTGTGAAGAAGAAAGGTGAATTCTGAAGGTGTTAGGTTAATAAATTAAAAAATAATAAAAGAAAACATTTTTTCACTTATAAAAATATAGAATGCAGGTCAGCTACATGTTCACAGCAAGAAAGCTTGATTAGGCATGTCCACACCTGAAAGATGTCTGCTTTGGTCTTTAATAAAGCGATCTCCATCTGCTCATGCCCTTGGATTGTTTTTATTAGTTTTTTAGCAGTACAGCTGGCTGTGCTCAAGCCCTACATAACTCTGCATTTTCCTGTTCATAATTAACTAATTATGCTCTAATCAATAGTGCAGATACTGATTTTACAATGTAAATGAGATAAATGAGATAATGGCTGGGATCAATCTCATTTTATTTACAAAGCTCAGCACACACATCCAATTTCATTATATTGCATCTACCTGCACAGGAGGGAGTCTTATCAGTTGGCCTGCAGAAGTCTTCCTGTGAGCACTGGGGAAAAGGACCTGCGCTTTTACAGAGGAACAGTGAATGCAAAAGCTGCCCATCACTGGCACATTTGTAAGTCACTGGTTAATATCATTGAGAACCACAAAGAGCTGATTCAGCCAGAATGAAGAAACCTATTTTGCATTCACAAGACAGCATCACCCATCTATAGCTGTAAAAGTAATTACCTACATGTCCCTGAAACACAACATTAATAAGCTAATCTTTAAATACAACTTTCCAAATATGCTTCAGAGACTACAGAAAATCTCTCACTTATGCACACATCATTGCACATCGTCTGCAGCGTCATGCCGAAAGGTACCACGTTGAACAAAATACAAAATTGCAAAATATATATACTACTCCCTATTCATCACAACAGCTTAGAAAGATTTACTTTAATGGCAAAAAGACAGAAAACTTTGATACACTATTGACAAACTATCATCACCATTCAAACTTGTCATATAAGCCTTACTCCAGGAAACTCAGAAGTAATTACAACAAAATTAGAAGTAATCTAATCCAGAATTTTTAAATTCGCAGAGGAAGACAGTGAGATGGGTGTGCATTCACTCACCCATTAGCTGGGGGGATGCAACATGATGGCTATTCCAGCACCTGTGTGGATTTGACTTTATTGATATGCACACATCTTCCCTTGTTGGCTTGTTCTGGACCCCATTTCTGACTAAAGGCTCTTAACCCCTGAGGAACTGATGCTTCTTCTCAGGCACTGGTCTCTCTCTCCCCTTTAATCCCTGTGTCCAACTGCTGGGCCCCTCTGAAACTGCAAACAGCTGGAGACATGCACAAGTGGGTTCACTGTAGGCGGCAGCACATTCTTGGGTTCAGATGAACAACGTAAAACCAGCTATGACAGATTAAGGCATTGTCATCATTTTGTTTCTTGTTAGTGGCCGTATGATAGATCCGATGGAAAGGAGCATGTAAGCATTCCCCAAAAAAGAGAGTAAGCTGATGTAGCTCAAGTGAATTTAAACCGTAGA